GAGGTCCCCAGCCAGGGAGCCTAACGCGACCTATGTGACCCAGTTTCCTGGTTAGGGTTTTCATACCCTCGTGCCAGTTCTTAGCTTGACCACCCTTGGCTTTTCTCCACTCGGTCACAATGAGTTACACGCGTCTCACACCACTACTCATGAACAACCCATCTAAAAATAAACATGTTTTTCATTTTCGTACCCGAAGTCAGCTAGTCTACAAGAATGTTCATCCACGTCATTGAGGAGTTCGTTTCGTCTTCCACGACAAAGCCAATCGACCATTGTAGCATTAGCCGTTATTATTTACACATTCAACCCAAACCTTTCTTTCGAACAATTGAATCATCCCTTAGATTCTTTGAAATCGATCTAGCCTACAATAGCAAAAAAACCAATTTTCTGCTATTTCCACTTTTTACCATGAGCACTCCCCATTACTGATTTCGCATTCATACGTGCATTCTCATTGCGTCATCGATTATTTTTAGTTGCGAAATGATATCTGGAACTTCTGACTGATAAATAACTTCCTGTTCATTCTAAATAACGAACGGGTAGGGGTAGGGGGAGGAGGAGATATGCAACACAAACTTCATACCGATCTGATGTCACTAAATCGTATTTAGGACATTAAGTAGTACCCACATCGAATGAATAACCAAAACTATCCCATGAGATGAATGCGGCAGCGACTAATTAAGCGAGAATTTTCAACGACTAGTGTAAACAGAGAAGCATGGGGAGCAGCTGTTTGGAACGGGATCCTAGTTGGGGATCCCGAGATTATAGTGACCGGTAGTTAGAGACACCGAGTGATGTGGCCAAGTCTTACCAACCGTGTCTCTCGTTTATCCACTCAGTATTCTTGTAACCCCAGTCCATATATGAATTCTCTATCGTTCCCTTGAATGTGCCCTCGGCATTCCAATCTTTGTTCTGCTTTTTTATTCAAATGAGCGGCCAAAAGATAGCAACCGAAACTGGCGCACGAAAGTGTATGGTTAATGGATGTAAGAACAAACCGAAATGTTCTAACACTTTCGAGACAGCTATTTTCCCAAGGTGTTACATTTTCAGGTGCATTCTCTATAGAAATGAAAGTAGATGATGAACTTCGATAACTTTCTAGAAACTTACTTTTTGATAGTGATATTTATAGGGCTTGAATGTATTATGGTAACTGCTTCATATGTCTAGTAGCCTTTCATCATTTGGTGGCGATCATAGATAACACCCGTCCCTAAATATCTCTTGTACATGTGCGAGTCAGATAACCGGACAACATTGAGGGGTTTGCCCTCAGAACTGTAAAATTATACCAGGGGTGATGTATCGATCAGTTCAGTATCACACGTGCTAATGTAGTTCCGAAGGCTGTTGTACCGTGATTCTTCTGGCACAGTCTTGATTTAGGCAAGTTATGTGTACACATATGTGTAATGCTTATGTAGTTCGCTACCCGAATTCCCGGGGATTTGGTTTCTGGTTTCTGTGTGAATAATAGGTCCTCGTGTATGTGCAGTTTACCCCTTCTCCTGTGTGACTTCGATCTAGTTAATAATCAAAGGGGGGTTCATCACTCTGACATTTTTAGTGTCAGTCAGATTGGCGGTTTCCACTGCTTCTTCCACCATGCACTGGTGTCTCAGTATTGATTTTTGTGTATCCGTGTGGTTTTCCGGGAATGAAGGCTGTCTTTCAGAGACACTACTTGAATTCGGTGAAATGAACTACTTTATTTGGGATTGGTGCAGAGATCATAAACAAGCATTATGTGAACTATAACTGAAAATTAATCCCTCGTCTGATAGTTTGAACGGTGCTTAAATGGTCTAGTTTCGCTGTCTTTGGCGCACTTTCTGTATGACCTTGATTTTAAACCCAACTTCGCCTACCCATTTGGTTCACCAATGACGGTAGAGTGATTGCAAGACCATATAGCTAAAAGTGCAACCAAAATAATCATACAGAATGACAACGAGGAAGATGTGGAGGAAGTATTTAGGAAGCAATGCTAGCGCATTCTCGTACAGTACACCAGCTCTGTAGCAATACAAAATGATAAACGTTTGAGCAGTTCCATTTAAAATAAATGTCATCTGTTTGGCGTAGAGTAGGATTTACTAGACTATTCTCGATCTTTTCCGCTCAACTTCCGTTCAGCTTCGTCCGTATCGGTTGAACTTTCTCACAATGCGTTTCTTGCTGTAGCGATTTTGTGTGACTAAGTAATTTATGTCCACCAACTAGTTATAGATCTGAACTTTTCTACCCGGCCCAACAATTTCACACGC